GTGTGTGTGTGTGTGTGTGTGTGTGTGTGTGTGTGTGTGTGTGTGTGTGTGTGTGTGTGTGTGTGTGTGTGTGTGCAATAGACAAAGCAAAAGGAGAGGGAACGGGACCACGATCCGCGCACGTGCAACCGCTCGTGTCAGTGCTGTCATGATTGTTCCTCGTCATCACCCTCGCACTGCTTGGGCGCGCACCGCTGCCGAAGGAAGCGTCCACCCGAAGCGCAATGACGTTCTTGTTTGAAGAGCCGTAGTGGAGAGTGGATGAGTTGTCCAAGCGCACAGTGAATCCCGTGTACCCGCACGCATGGGATTGCACATACATCCCGTTCAGCCACACCTGCACGCAGGGTGTGTGTGTATGTATGAATGAATGTAGGTGTGTGTGATTGGGTTCATGGTGCAGTGTGATTGTTGGTACAATATTAGTGACCCAAGACACCAACACGAACAAAGTCCAGCCACACACACACACACACACACACACACACACACACACACACACACACACACACACACACACACACACACACCTGGGTGTAATGGAACACGCCTTCAAAGTAGAGGTAGATCGTGGAGCCCTGCCACTCCTGAGGGACGTGAAAGTGTTTGCGATACCAGCTCACGTTCCGAACGAGGTCTGCAGTGCACATCATCGCGGTGGGAGGAAAGCCAGTCAAGAGCGTGAATGATTGCCATTGAAAGGCAGGCGGATTGAGCAGCCAAAATTACGCACACACAGACACACGGACACAGGCACAGACAGACACACACGCACGCACGCACACACACAAAATACACACACGCACACAACCTCACAGGCACACAGGCACACACGCACACACACACACACACACACAAAATACACACACGCACACACACACACACACAATCTCACAGGCACACACAAAAACAACACACACACACACACACACACACACGCACGTCCGTGAAAGGAATTTGCTTGTGGCGAAAAGTGCGAGTTGGAGATGACAAAGTCGTGCGGAGCGTCCACGATGGGCCAAGAACTGTCATCGAACGACTTGGACGTGAAGTTGTACGGTTTGACCAAGGGCGGCGAGGTGTCTCGCTCACCGGCGCTGTACACGGTGGCATTTTCACCGGCGGGCTTGCATGACGCGCCTTCACCTCCATGGAAGCAGTACTTATTGTGCTGGAACCACAAGCGGCACTCTGGATCTGGATGCGCAGGAACCGAGCCGCAAACATGGTCATGGGTCAACGTCGCACAAACCGTCTGCCCTCAGTGGCAGCAGAGCAGGGAAAACTAGCGATCCGACAAGAGCGGGCGTGATCCCGTTGGTATGACGCAAGCCATCGCGCGCGCGTGTGTGTGGTTCTACCCTTATCAGTGTGGCCGTCTTACAAGAAAAACAAACAAGTGCGACGTACTGTAGCAGCAAGCGAGCTCGCAGTCGCGGGCGGAGAAGCGGTTGGGGTTGTTGTTGAAGCCCGAGCATGTGAGTGGACCAGAGATGTTGCGGAACATGCACCCTGGAGGCCCCATTTGCCCATCGGGTGCATGGCCTGCAGTCATGTGAGGTTGCGTCCGAGAGGGGGGGGGGGGAGTTCAGGCGACACGGCGATGGTGAAGTGCAGAAGTGAGGACATCGAAAAGCAAACGAAGCGAGGAGGCTGGCCAGCGGTGAAATGAACATAGCAAAACCAACAAACAAACGGGTGTACTTCGCAACACACATTCTCACCAAAGTGGAAGCGCCAGCCATAGTTGAAGTTGACAACATCTCGCGGCGTGCCTGGTGTTGCTACCCCACCTCCATGGCTTGTATCGCCACCTCCACCACCACCACCATTATTCACACAGTTGGCACCACCACCCAGCAGTGCCACCACCAGCACTGCTCCCACCAGCAATCGCGTTCCGCGCACCCACCGCCCCGCCGTCATTGTAGAAAATTAACTGAAGTTGTTCACAACTCTTCTTGCCTTGAATGGAACGAATGCAATTGACATCGTCAGCAGCGTCATCAAACACAGCAAACCACCCATCATCAAACGACACGCCGCCGTGATGATGGTGCTGGGTGGTCGCGGGCTGGCGCTGGTTGCGTGGGCGCTTGTGGCTGTACTTGGGAGCTTGCTGCTATATTGTCCGCAGGGCGTTGAAGGCGACATCTCCCTTGTGGTTGGTGTGAAGGAACCGCAGCTGGTGCAACGGCTGCCCATCTTCCTTGCCGCCGCGCAATATGCGATTGGCGAGTTTGATGGTGATGGCCCGCCTTTGTCCGGTGTCACCGTGGATGCCGTTGACGCAACCTCAAGCGGGCTCGTGTCTGGGCAGGACGGGGACGTTTGTATCGTCACCTACATCTCAGATGTGAACAGCACCGACGTTGGTAAGTCTAGCCTCGTGTGCTGTTGTGTGCTGGTTGTGGGCTTGATGTGGGCTTGATGTGGTTGATGTGTGCTGGATGTGGGCTTGTTGGGTGTGCTGGTTATGTGCTTGTTGTGCATGTGTGCGTGTGATTGTTGTGTGTGCGTGCTCGCTACGTGCTCGTTGTGTGGTTGTCGTTGGCTCAACGTTTGATTTGCCCACTTCAACCATGACACGACATGCTCGTCTTCCTCTTTTTGCTTCGGTGCAATGTGCATGCGCAGACTGTCAAGTGTTGTTGCATGAAGACAACGATGTCTTCCAATCGCACGTTGCCAGGCTCCTCAACACGTGGCACTGGCGCGCTGTTGTGGCCATCTCTCAGCAGTGCAGCGTCCATGATCTCACACAACAGCAGCTTGACTTGGTCAAGACACTTCGTGCTGAGGTGCGTGTGCGTGTGCGTGTGCGTGTGCGTGTGCGTGTGTGTGTATACACGTGTGCGTGCGTGTTTGTCTCACACCTGGTTTCCTGTAGCTTCTCGGCCACGAGCATCCCATCTCCAAAGAGCGACACGGTCCCGCCATCATCGCCATCTCACGCATCATCGACCCCTCCCTTCCATCGCATTCACAGGGCGTCAACGTGGAGTTTCGCCGAAACGCCGTGGGCGCAAATCCCTGTGCTGAAACGTGGCGAAGCGACTACCATATTGGCATGCTCTTTGCAGCCGGTGTCGACGACGCTGCAGCCACCGTCCTCAACATCTTCAACGCAGGCTTCCTGAAGAAGGGGTGGGTTGCGCAACACTCTGTGTGTGTGCATGTGTGTGCATGTGTGTTTGCGTGCGCGAGTGTGCGTGTGTGTGTTGTGTGTCTTGTGTCATGTGTCTGTCGTACAAGTGGGCCTGTTCGTGTGTCATCTGAGCTACATGTTGCTTTGACGCTTGTAACACCGTCCCTCGACTCATCGTGTTCCTTCATTCATCGCCTTGCTTTCTTCATCCTCTGCTTCCCCCTCCTCTCGTTCAGCAACGTGCTGCTGTGGATGCCAGACTTTGTGTTTGCGGATGTGTTTGCGGTATCGCAGCAGCTGATGGACGCCGGCCACAACGCTGCTGCGGTCTGGTCTTTCGCGTGGATATCATGTGTGCACCACGAACCTGCTTCATTCCATGTTTGTCATCGTTCTTGCCAATGCACTTGCCAGCCGTCTCCACGATTGCCCACTCACACCATCACCACCATTATCACACGGCCACCACCACCACCAATGCTGGCGCGGTCCAGGCTGCGCTGGGTGCGTGTGCGCTCGTGCTGTCCCCGAACAGCGGTGCATTCACTGCGGACCTTCGCCAGGTCGCCACCAGCGCCCTCGGCAGCGCCACCGCAGACATCGCCGTCGAGAACCACTTTGACGCCACAATCTTCGACGCCATTGCCGGGGCGGTGCGCACGCGCGTGTCCGCTGCGCTGGTGTCGACTGGTGCGACCACTGGTCCACTGCCGCCACTGCCACTGCTCGGGCAGATGGACACAACAGCCGCGGCCAGCATCAGCACCGCGCCCGTCAACGTGCTGCGGACAGGGCCCGTGATTCGGCTGGAGAGGTCCCTTCGCGTCACCATCACCACGCCAGCTAATGAGGTGCTGGGCGTGCGCTTGCTCAAGACAACGCTTTACGCTCTTGTGATGTCTGCTGCTCTGTCGGGACATACTCTGCATGTTCAGTGTACGATGCGACCATCTTCTCTTGAGAATGTCAGCATGTGCAAAGGACTTGTGCACAGCTCACCATCCACCTTTTCCAAGGGCCTTCCTCCATGCTACCGCTTGTCATATCTCACCCCTCACCTCTCACCTCTCACCTCTCACCTCTCACCTCTCACTTCTTCTCCCCTCTCACGCAATCACACACACACACACACACACACACACACACACACACACACACACACACACACACACACACACACACACACACACACAAAATTGCATTGGCAGAGCGACTCGGGCTTGGTGTACTACAATGAGGACATGGGCTCGTCCGCAACGCCCGTGCTGCTGCTGCAAGCGAGCGACCCGTCACTGTTTCCCTTTGCCAAATCCCCGCTCACGTCTGACATTGTCGTCTCCTTCGACAGGTGCCCCACCAGCTCATTCAGTGCGCAGCAGCTGCACTTTTTCTTTTTGTCTCACTTACCTTTGCCTGCATGAGGTGCCGTTACTCGTAAGTTAATCACCCACCACCACCACTACAACTATCACCACGACCGCTGGCAGAACGGACCCCGTCTCGCGCGCCAGCTTCTACCCCGTCGACGACTTCATGCCGGCTGCCCGCGAGTTCTTTGCCCTGCGCTTCCCCCAGATTGCCGTCACCATCCGCAGCGTGGACGGTGGCGACGGCGACTGCGGGCGCTCCATGTACGGCCCCCAGCCCACGCTGCCGGACCTGGTGGTCGACTCGTCGCCCTGCACCGTCCCCTTTGGCCGCGTTGCCGCGCGTGACGGCGTGCCCATGATCACCAACACTATCCCAGTTGCCGTGATCTCCGACAAGAAGGCATACCCGACCACCTTCCGCATCGGCACCACCTCCACGCTGCAGGCATCCATCATGGCGCGCGTCGCACAGCAGCTTGACCTCAAGTGCGTCACCGTGCTCCACGACAACTTCCCGGCGAGCCTGGAGATTGCCACGACCTTCTTCTCTGCCGCGCGCTCGCTCGGGATGCAGGTGCCGCTGCGCTACCCCGTACGCAACGCTTCCTCCATTGCCGAAATTGTCGACAAGATTGTCGAAGCAGGCGCGCCAACCATCTACCTGGCAGGGTGCGTGCGGTGTTGTGGAAAGGGGTTTGGAAATCGGTGTTAGTAATTCATGCAGGGTGTGTCCTGTTGTGCAAATGCGCATTCGTGGTGCTGCTGCGTGGCTTGCTGAACCCGTCCGCCAACGCCTCACTGTTTGTTGAGTGTCGCTGTTTTGCTGCCTCCTCCCGCCTCCTGCCTCCTCCTCCGCCCTCCTGCCTCCTCACTCCACTCGAACTCACGACTACCTTTGCTCTCCTTCTGCCTTGGCCTCGCTTGTTCTCGTCGTCTGTGCCTCCCACCCGATCAACCACCCCATCCACCAGGTTTGTCCCGGACATGCCTGCCATCTTCGAAGAAGCGCATGCGCGCGGCATGCTGCAGCCACCCTGGGTCTGGCTCACCACCTACTTCCGCGTCAACCACCCAGCCATCACCCCACCCGTCTTCAGCGCCCTCGACGGCATCCTTATCACCCTCCTCGTGCAGGACCGCACCTACGCCACTGATGTTGGCAAGGCGTTTGCCACCTTCAACTCGTCCACAGACCACACCGCACACGGTTCGCGCGTCGCTTTGCTGCAGTATGTTGACGCATACAACGCCTACATCCACGCCTTCAACGCCAAGCAGTACACGTACGGGTTTGCGTTTGACCAGAAGACGCGGCACCGGCAGCTCATTGAGGGCCTGCGAGCCTTCACGCCAATCAACCCGCTGCCGGGCATTTCCGACCTGGAGATTGGATTTGATGAGAACCAGGACAGCACCTCGGGCATCATCCCCTCGCTGTACATTGACGGAGCCCTCTGGCCACTCAGCAACAGCACAAAGGATGCCCTGTTCACTATCGGCCCACAGGCGAAGGCCCGCGCCCCGACGCAGGACAAGTGCGCCGTGCCAGACACGCTCCCCTCCCCCACGGACGATGATGGCGATGGAGGTGGGGGCAGTAGCGGCGGCAGCGGGTTTGGCCAGGACGACCTGGCGGCGGTGTACGTGAGCGCGTTGGTCATTGCCGTGATCATCCTCGTCGCCACGGGCGTGTTTGTGCACCGGCGCACGACCAAGAAGAAACGTGCCCGACACGATTTCCGGGCTGAGCTGGAGGACATGCAGCTGTTTCGGCGCGGCGTGCAGCCGACGGAGCTCAGCCGGCGCCGCGTGCAGCTGGAGAGGAAACTCGGGGAGGGATTCTTCTCGCAGGTGTGGAAGGGGACATACAGTCCGCCACGGCGCCTGCTACACTGGCACCGAGACCAGCAGCAGCAGCAGCAGCAGCAGCAGCAGCAGCAGCAGCAGCCAAGGGGAGGCGGGCGATGGCGCGCACAGAGCGACGGCAGCGGATGGCGCAGCAGGCATTCTGCAGCAGCAGCAGCAGCAGCAGGAACAGCCATGGTATCCAGCGACGGGGTGCGGCAAGGCACAAGACGCAGCAGCAGTGCTGATGGTGGTAGTGGTGGTGGCGTTGGGAGCGATCGCATGAGCAGGACAGACACTGCCACAACTGCCACGGCTACGACGAGCAGCACAGCCCACACCCCCTCCCGGCCGCGGTGGAAGAGCATCGCCAGTGGCAGCGACGGGAACACAGCGCATGGTGCGGCGCCGCACAGCAGCACGCGGGGCCGGCCGAGTCTGGTGCGCAGCGTGAGCGGGACATGGGAGTCACGCAGCACTGGTGGGGACGGAGGCCATGACGGGCTTCGCCAGCAGCCACGGAGACAGGCACATGCGCATGACGGTGGAGGCAACAGCGGAGAAGACGGTGATGATGTGCATTGCTGTTGGCGGTGTTGCTGGCTGCCGCGGATGTGCAGCTGCACGTGTGCGCGGCCGGCGGCGGTCCCCGTTGCCGTGAAGATGGTGACGCCCTCGCTCGACGGGTCGCGTGATGAGAGCAGTCTGCGGTATGAGGCCGTGTCCCTGGCCCAGTTCCGCCATTGTGAGAACATTGTGCAGCTGCTTGGCGTTGTGACGACTGGTGACCAGCCCATGCTGCTGGTGCTGGAGTACTGCGAGAATGGAGCGCTCGACTCGTTCCTGCAGCGCCAGACCATGCGCGACAAGCCGCTCTCCTGGCTCATCAAGCTCAGGATGATGCGCGACGTCGCAACAGGTGCGTGGTTGTTGCGTGTGTTTGAGTGTGGTTTGTTGAGCGAGAGTGAGCTGAGTGTGTGGTTTGGGTGCGTACGCGAGTGTGTGGTTGAATGCGTTTGAGCATGTGTGGCCTCAATGCGTGTTGCCTGTTTGCATGCGTGCGCGTGCACTATCAGCCTTGCTGGTCAGTCGCTACCTTTTCAGCTCATCACCCAAACCCCTCTCCCCTTGAACATTTTCTCGCCACGAACAGGGATGCGTGCCGTCTCCGATGCTGGCGGCTTGCACATGGACCTCGCTGCGCGCAACGTGCTGGTCACATCCAATCTCACGTGCAAAGTGTCTGATTTCGGGCTGTTCAAGGACCACCAGTACTACGAGATGCACCAGGAGAAGCTCATTCCTGTGCGCTGGACGGCGCCCGAAGTCCTCAACCTCGAGCGGGTACGACGACGTTGTTGAAGATGCCAGTGCTTATTGTCATGGTGATGCTGGTGATGGTGGTCGTGGTTGTTTCACTACCCCAACTATGTAATATCTTCTGTTCCTGAACATGATTATTCCCGTTGTCGCTGTTGTCGCTGTTGTCGCTGTCGTCGTCATCGTTGTCGTTGTTGTTGTTGATGGTGGGGGTGGGGGTGTTCTCAAGCGTTGCAAGTTCACACACATGACCGCATTGCTTCTTCATTTTGCCTGCGTGTCCATAGTTTTCGAGTGCAAGTGACGTGTGGAGCTTTGGAGTTGTTCTCTTCGAAACAACGACCAAGTGCGTGCGCATGTGTGCGCGGATCTGTAAATGTATGCGTGTGTGTGCGTGTGTGCGTGTGCGCGTGTGTTTGTGTGTGCTTGTGCTTGTGCTTGTGTGCATGTGTGTTTGTGTGTGCACACTCTTGCGGTGGTGTTGGCAGTGTACGCTTTACTTTCTGCTTGCCCACTGCCTGGTTGCTGCTATGGAGTCCTCCACAACTCACGCGTGACCACGGCACCGCCGCATGTCCACGTCGCTGCATCACGCATCGGTCACCCCGCGCAGTGCCTCTGAGAAGCCGTACAGCAGCATGTCGAACGACGCTGTTGTGGAGGCGGTCTCTTCAGGGTACCGCCTGCCGCAGCCGCCGCTGTGCCCTGACGAGATGTATGCGGTGATGCTGGAGTGCTGGCAGGATGACCCAGGGGACCGGCCCACGTTTGATGATCTTGTGCACGAGCTCTCGTCCATGATCATCAGCATGGAGCAGGGAGGCACCATGAGCACGTTCAAACGGGTTGCGCGCCCACCAGCACAAAGGCAGCAGCAACAGCAACAACAGCAACAGCAACAGCAACAGCAACAGCAACAGCAACAGCAACAGCAACAGCAACAGCAACAGCAACAGCAACAGCAACAGCAACAGCAACAGCACCAGCAACAGCAACAGCAACAGCAACAGCAACAGCACCAGCAAGGTGCGATTGGGGAGGTGGATCCACGCGAAAGCGTTCAAGCCGGCACAGGCGGCGGCGGCATGGGCAGGGTGCAGGAGAAGAAGCCGCGGTACGGCGGCGGTGCTGGGCTGACCAGTCAGCAACCACAGCAACAGCAACCACCGTATCAGCAACAACCTCAGCAACCGCAGCATGTGGGTGCGAGCCAGCCGCTGTGTGATGCGCCTTCGACGCGCGGCTACCAGCAACCGGTGCACCAGGCCCATCAACAGCTGGCCCAGCAAAGACCAGTGCCACCACCGTCATCCCACCAGCACGATCAGCACGACCAGCAAGATCTGGTGCCGTTGACGGCGTCTGCCGACATGAGCAGGATGTTGGAGATGTTGCGGCAACAAGGGCTCACAATCGACAGCGCTGGCGAGAGCGATGGTGTGTCGTCATCACAGCCATCGCCTCCACCCGCTTCTCAGTCGTCGGCCGCTGTTAGCAGCAACACAGCAGTGCCACCGCCCTTCCCTCATGCCCAGCAGCAACAGCAACAGAAGCCGCAAGGGCTGTACACGACACTCCCTGCTCACGCCACCGCATCGGGCGCTGTTTCCGTGTCCGCGCCGCCACCTCTGCATGTCGAGCAGCCCCGCCTACGTGTCCAGGGCGTTCAGGGCGTTCAGGGTGGCATTTGGGGCGTTGGCCAGTACCATCCCCTGAGCATCGTATCATCGCAGCAGCACAGCGCAGCCGCCATCCCGCCGATACCAGCACCGGTGCCAACAGCGCAGGATGTGGGCGGTGCGAATGGTGTGGGTGGTTACCATAATGTACAGCAACACCTCGAGCACCAACAGCAGCAACACCTCGAGCACCAACAACCGCAGCAGCAGCAGCAGCAGCAGCAGCAGCAGGGCAATGTGCCCGCGCTGGTGATGCATCCGTACTTGGCAGCGCACGGACGCGCATCTCACAGTCAGCCAGGGCAGTTGCGTGCGCCGATGTACACCCAACTGTCGCTGCCACCCAAACCGCACTTTGAGCAACAGCAACAGCCGCAGCAGCAATGGGGGGATGCACAATCTCCGAGCGTGACACATCATGGCACGTATGTACCGGTACACCCTTCCCCCGAACGCCAGCACGGCCACCAGCAGCAGTGGCGGCAGGGCGCAAGCGAATATGGAGGCGGGAGGGGCATGATGGGGGATGCGGAGCTTGCGTCAAAACTGCTGGCCACGTTCCCGCTGATCCGTTTGTCAGCATCATCCCCGATGCAATCGAGTGGGCTGCAAACGCAAGCACCGTCCCAACGAGGATCGCAGTGGCACTCGCAACTGCAGGATGGACCTTGCTTGTCAGGGCAGCAGCCGCAAGCACAGCAGCAGCGCCTGCAGCAGCAGCAGCAGCAGCCGACAGAGCAGGGCAATAGATGCGCACAAGCGCAAGTTGGGGCCGGACATATGCGAGCATCAGCACCACCACACCTCCACCTCACTCAGCCCTGCCAGCAACCGTACCAGCAAGGGCAAAGGCAGCAACAGCAGCAACCGCCACCGGCACAGACGCAATCGCGGCCTGCACAGCCACAGCAATATTCATTGCCGCAGCCATACTCCATGTCACAGCAGACGAGTGCGCCATCAGCGGCACGCGCGCCTGCAGCATCTGGGCTCACGCTGACTGACGGGTGGATGGACCAGCTTGCATCAGCCCTGCGCATGGGCAGCGACGATGGGCCGCAGCAGCAGCAGCAGCAGTCGCAGGAGCTGTCAGCAATACCAGGACCACCAACATCGTCGCAAGAACAACAGCAGCAGCAGCTGGCTGGCCCTGTTGCGCTACCCCAATCGCAATCGCGGGTCGCGGAGCCGCACGGCACGCCACTGCAGCCGGTGTTGACGCACCTGCTGGCCACCAACAATGACTCGCTGCCTGAGATGTCCAGTACCACGGACGATGTCAGTGTCACCGCCGACAGCACCAACTTCGACAACGGCAACGGTAATGATAACAGCAACAACAACAATGGCAACGGCAGCACCACCGACAGCACCACCACCAACAACAATCCCACCACCAACAACAACACCACCGCTACCAGCAACACCACCAGCAACAACACCACCGCTACCAGCAACACCACCAGCAACACCACCACCGACAATGGCAACCACACCATGAACAATTCTTCTGTTGCTGCAACTCCGCCAGATGTGACAGCAACACCAACGTCAGGAGCGGTGAGCGCACCGCCTGTGGTGACCGTGCCTGAGCCGGTGCAGCCCCGCCAACCAAGTGCGACTGTCCCGGGCTCCATCGACTTTGCACAGCTGCGCACCCTCTTGGGCGGAATCGACACGAACTTATAGCGCGAGCATGTGGTATCATCGTGTCAAGCGGAGAGGGCGTATTTAGAGGGCGTGCGGTGTGTGTGTGTGTGTGTGGTGTCTTTGATGTAACTAACTACATGCATATTTCAGCTATTTGGGTCTTATGATGAAAGGCTGTAAGCCACTTGGCTTCTGATTTATTCCATCTATGTGTGCTCACTACTGCACTCAGCCTTGCGAACTCAGTGGCAACAGAGATGACCATGCGTGTAAAGTTGCACTTTAACAGACAGACATACAGACATACAGACAGACAGACAGACATACAGACAGACAGACAGACAGACAGACAGACACACAGACAGACAGGCAGGCACACACACACACACACACAGGCAGGCAGACAAACACACACTCTCTCTCACCAATTCAAAGGCAAACCTTCCTTGCGCCACCCCAAAATCAAATCTGCCTTGGGAGAAAATTGCAAAGGATCGTTGGATAAATTTCCTCCTTTGTGTGTTGGGTGCTGCATTTCATTCTCAACGAAGAAGACTCGACGAACCATATCCGACCCTGTCTGTTTGCTGCGTCGACCAACAACCACCCACTCATTCAGCACTGCCTCCTTCCCACGGACAGACGTCCCCTCCTCCCCAAACCCACACCGTCACCCAATCCCCCCCCTCTCTTCAACGCCAGTGGCTTTCAACGTGCAAGATGGCCCACCACAACCTCATCATCGACGAGCGCGCAGAGAGCAACGAGCTCGAAACGTCCGTTCCACAACACGCGCTGCCCACCGCCATTTTGCAGCCCTCCATGATGCACACTGACGCGTCAGACGAGCCTCCGGCGCTGCCATTTCACCATCCCATGTTTGCCACGCTTGCCCGACCGGCTAGCATGGGCGAGGACTCGCTGTCATCGCCGGCTGGGCAGCACGGCTGGAACCACTTCTTTAGTCAACACGAGCCTGTCTTCCAGGCAAACGTGGAAGAGGAATTGGCACATCGGATGTGCGTCGCCCTCCCCTCCGCGCATGCTCGCTCTCATCAACCGCGTCGCACAACGGGAGTGCGTGGCCACCAGAAGCGCACCCGCTCTCACGGGCCACGGTCGGTCGCCCCTGCATCTTGCTCGCGCGATCCGGGGCAACATGAGCGGCTTAATGGAGGCGATCATGATGGAGCACATCACCACCATCAAGTGCGCTTTCCGGGAGCGGTCTTTCGTGCCAATGGCAAGGGACCAAACTCAGCACATTTCCCTCTTCTCGAGTCCTCGCCTCGCGATCCGGGAAATTCCCATCGCCAACCTCACACCAAGTCACGCGGACCCCCACCCACGGCCAAGTTGACGCGTGAACGCAAGCACGAGCAGGACCACACCCACCAAGGCTGCCCCTGACTGCCTGATTGCCTGATTACCTGATGGGTTGAGCTATCGCGTTGCGCTCTGGCTGCCATCCTCGTTTCCGGCGTTGTTTATTTGCTTTGCACTCTTGTTTGTTTGGCACTTTTGCACTTTGCAGCCCAGTTTCGGTTCACGGTGTTGATGTGAGTCATGTGCTCTCTCGCGCATGTCCCGTGCACGACCTGTCTCCCCTGCGCCTCCTTGTTTTAATGATAGTCGTTGCCTAACTTGCGCGGAGTTGTGCACATGCACGTGCACGCTCCACCGGGCCCTCTCGTCTAGCGCGAGCAGCCGTCCTTCTATTACACCTTGCGTTTTCATGCTTTGCTTTTCATGTGCGGGCGTTGTTGCGCGTTGCCGTGTGTCACTGCTCCCATGCCGAAGCAATACACGCTCTTCTCATTGCCATTCATTGCTGATGCAAACGTGATTGGTGCTGTGTATGAAGCCGCTTCAAGTGCTTGTGTGTGTGTGTGTGTGTGTGTGTGTGTGTGTGTGTGTGTGTGTGTGTGTGTGCGTGTGTGTGCGTGTGTGTGTGTGTGTGTTGTGTGTGCTGACTGAGAGGGCAGAGGAGGAAGAACGACTGTAATGGGTGGGGTCGAGCGAGGAGGCCGGGGGGGGGGGGCAGCAAGACAACACGAACCATACGTGCTAACAACGACGAAGCATGGGAGGGGGGGGGGGTGGCGGAATCAAACGAATCAACAAACAACGATGAGACAGACACATGATGTGAGGGGCAAGGTTGCGCCTCCCTTCTTCTCTAAGACAAGCGCGCTTCAAGGTCCGCCAACAGTGCGGTCGTCAGCTCTTGGCTGCTGCACTTGGCATCAATGTTCACGCTCTCGTCCTGTGAGTGTGTGTGTGAGTGTGAGTGTGTGTGTGTGTGAGTGTGTGTGTGTGTGTGTGAGTGTGTGTGTGTGAGTGCGTGCGTGCGTGCGTGTGCTTGGCTTGCTTGATTGTCGTGGTTGTTTGTCGAGTGCACGTTCACAAGTGTTCGGCACGCCGGCCCAAGAAACAAACCGGAAGCGCACCTGATCCACAATCTGCAGACACACGTGACCGTCGGCGACTGTTGCGCTGTAGATGGATGCCGCGCCCGCAATCATCTCAACAACTGCACAACGCACACATGAACACACACACACACATACACAGACACACAGACACACACAGGTGTCAGGACAGGTGCGGTGGGGACACGTCGAGGAGTGATGCGATCAAGGCGGTGTTGACGTGTTGTGCACACATGACACAGAGGGGGAGACACAGACGCACAGAAGGACACACATACAGACAGATACAGACAGACACAGACACACAGGCGTGCACCTTGGCCGTGGACGATGGAGCAGACGGTGGCGGCTGCGGCTTCAAATGTGACACCTTGCTTGTTCAGTGTCAGCGATGAGGACGGGCTGAGTCCTCCATCCTCAAGAAGGGCCCGAAACTCCTCCTGCATTGCGTAATGTCATGTGATGGTTGCATGAACCCGTGAGTGAACTGGTCGGGTCACCTGTTGAAGGCACAATAGATGCACACAGACGACTGCACAAACACACAAACAAACAAACAAACACAAACACACACACACACAAACAAACAAACAAACACAAACAAACAAACACAAAGACACACACACACACACACACACACAAACAAACAAACAAACAAACACAAACACACACCCCCCCACACACACACACACACATATGCATGTACACTGACCTGTGTGCAGGGCTTTGTGAGCAAGAGGTCCGAGACGGGAATGCGGACGAGAATCTCCTTGGTGATGACGTTTGATGAGGAGGAAGCGGTGGCGGTGGTGGCGGCCGGCTCCTCGTCAGTGGCAGCGGTGGTCGTGCTGCCCTCGCCCTCATCACCTTCGTTCTCCTCCTTGTTCATCTCCTCCTCTTCTTGTCCCTCCTTCGTGTCTTCAGTTGCCACACCTTCACCAGCATCACCAGCATCACCGGCATCCTCCTTATCCTCACCAGCTTCCGTTTGCTCGTCACCCGCCATCTCCGCCTCTCCTTCCTCCCCATCTTTCTTCTCGCGCTCTTCCTTGTCGCCATCCTCCTCATCCTCCGCCGAATGCTTATCCTCCTCCTTCCCTTCCTCCTCTTTGATGGCCTCCTCTGCCTGCGCTTGCTCCGCCACGCCGCCGGCACACGCGTACGTCAGCGTGGCCTTGAAGCTGCCAGGAGCACGAAACACGTGGGTAAAATATGTGTGTGTGTGTGTGTGTGTGATTGCACGAGCATCAGAAACATGTTCGTACGGTGTGAGAAGAGAAGAATGATGAGTGAAACAAAAAATACGCACGCGAACCACATCACCACCATCACCACGACCACCAGGACCACCACCACTGCCTTAGGGTGCGGTGCACCTTGTCTCGCGCGCGTCGTCTGTGATTGGCAGGACAATCTCCGCCGTCTCCGCAGCGCCGCCAGCGAGCGAGGACGACACGGACACAGGGCCGCTCCCATCAGGCTGCACGCGCCACGAAGCAGATTGTGCATGTGTGGGTGTGGTGTGTGAATGGCGTGAATGGCGTGAAGAGGGGCAATGCGTGGGCGACGAAAGAAGGAACGAATGCAACAGATGGCTGGTCGGTCAAGTCCACGCAAGTGCCAGTGAATGCGTGTGCGTGCACTGCTGTCATTTGCCAGTGGGAAATCGTTTCGGTTCGCACCTTGGCCTCGGAGTCGTCGGCCGGGGTGAGCGCGACGTCCGTGATGGCGCCTGCCGCGTGATTCTTCACCACAAACTGCAGCCGAACAGCGCCAGACGTCGCCTAAACACAACCAAAATATGCACACACACATGCACGCACACGCACACACAAAAAAGGTGAGGCGGTTATTTGTTGTGTGCGATGCGTCGAAATAATGAATGCCACACAAGGCGCCGATATTCGAGCGACTGTGAAATGCAACTGATACCCTCTCCATGCCCCCCCCCCACTCGCTCACAGCCTTTGCTTCCCTCTGCCACCCACCCTGAGCACACGTACGTTGAGCTGGTAGGCGACCGCGACGGTGTCGTCCTTGAGGAGCGGATGGAGGACAGGCGCAATTGGAGGCGACGGCGGCGCCGCGGACGCTTCATCCGCCGCTGCCGTCTCGACTGCTGACTCAGCACCTTTCTCCTTCTTCGCCTTCTTTTTCTTCTTCTTCTTGTCCTTCTTGCTCTTCTTCTTGTCCTTCTTGTCCTTCTTGTCCTTCTTCTCTGCTGCCTTTGGCTTGTCTTCGCTCAGCCACGAGTCCAGCGCACTCTGCAGCAAACGCAGCACGGCACAGCGACGTGTGATATAGTGTGTGTATGCGTGAGATGTTGTGTGTGTGTGTGTGTATGCGTGAGATATTGTGTGTGCGTGTGTGTTTGCAGTAGTGGTTACCTGTTCCTCTGCAGGCGGCGCGTCAACTGTGGTCTCGCCAGCGATGTCACCAACGTCAACCTTGGGCGCCTCAACTGGTTCATCCCCCGCAGGCTCGACCTCCTGTCGTGATGATGACGACGACGACGACGACGACGACGATGATGATGGATGTGGTTGAGGGGATAATGGTGGCAATCGTGATGCAGGTGCATTCGCAGGGATGGCAAGGGTACAGTGACAAGCATTGTATGTTTCGACAAGCGCGAACCTTGGTCTTCTTGGACTTTTTCTTCCGCTTCTTCTTGTCCTTCTTTTTCTTCTTCTTCTTGTCCTGCATGCAGCATTGCGACAGAAGAAGGGGGGGGGGGTGGTGGTGAGAGAAAAAAAAGAGTGAGCAAGCATCATGCACACACACATGCAGACACAAACACACAGACACAGACACAGACACAGACACACACATACACACAAACACACACGCACACACACCTGGTCGTCGCTGTCTGCGTGCGTGTGTGCGGTCATGGCGTCGTAGTGGGACGGCTTTGGCAGCTCAAACTCGCCAGCGGCCTCAAGGTCGATGTTGAGCGCGGCATGCGGATCATCCACAGCAGGCTGATGACAGCGGTTGTGGTGGTGGAGACAATCGTAGGCAAGCATGGCGATGAGTGCATGGTAATCAGTGAGTGGTGACATTCGGTTCAAGCCAAACGGGAGAAAGCAAACTCTCGCAATCAATCACGCCCTCGTGCACATTGCAGACACAAAAGAGACAATGGGGCCACGTCCTGGCGCCGCCACCACGCTCACAGCAGCAGCAGCAGAAACAGCAGTCACTACAGTAGCTGCCACAGCCCCCCCCCCCCCCCCTCTTCATCACAAAGCAAAACTTCAAAATTGATGATCAAGCGTGCTCGCCCACCTCCTCGTCGCCACCCGACTCTTCTGCGCCCTCCGGCATGTCTTCCTGTGCGAGAATGTCAATCTTGGCAGCAGCGGCGCGGTGGTGGTCGTCGTCATCTTCGTCGCTGGACGACGGTGGGCCCTCGGGGATGGGCAGGCCTTTCTTCTTCAGCCGGCGAATTTCCTTCTTGCTCAGCTTCTTCCTCTTCTTCTTGCGCTTCTTCTTGTCCTTCTTCTTCTTCTTCTCCGTGTCGTCCTCCACGCCAAAGTCGAGGCCCGTCCCCGGCACCGGCGCAACATCTGCACGCGGGCGGCGGTGGCATTGGTGGTGTACATGGTGGTGGTGGTGGGGGTATGATGGCGGGTTGGGTGAGGGGTAGAGTGAGGCGTTTGGTGATATACAGAGTCGCACAGGGGTATGCAGGTGCAACACAGCGGATTGCAGCACATATGCTCGCATACACATGAGAAGACAAAGGATGCAACGCCACAAACACACATAGACAGGCAGACAGAAAGACACACACACACACACACACACACACACACACACACACACGCACGCACACACACACACACACGCACGCACACACACAGACAGCCACACAAACCAAGTTTGATGGAGGGGCCGAGGTCGAGGGTGCGAACGGGGATTTGGTCCACTTCCTCCTGCGAAATTTGCTGAACGAATGAATGAAGCAACCGCAATGTGATGTGCACGGACACGCCGGCGGTTTGTGAGCGATGGGCACGAAGAAGCAGACAACGCGCATGTACAGCGTGTGCATTCTCATGTACGTCGACTCACCAGCTGCATGGGCAAATGTAAGGGTGGCAGCGTCACGATGGCGTGTGCACGCGCGCGCGCGTGTGTTTGTGTGCGTGTGTGCTAGTCGGTGAGAATGGATCAGGCCAAAAAAAGGAAGAGCAGCAGCAGCCAACATGACAACACTTGATAATTAAACGTCCGTGTTGACAACACGGATTGCACCACTCATGCCAACCTGTGACGATGCCATGGACGTGGTGCCACCGCTCGGAGTCGCATACTGGCCCTGCACGCAAACACACACACACACACACACACACACACACACACACACACACACACACACAAAAGTGAGGAGACACCGTGCGTGAATACACAAGCGAGTGCATCGGACATTCCATCGTTCAACACAGCAGTGGACACGCAAGGGGCGGGGGGTGTACTAACGAGGTGGTACGGGTTGGCGGCCTGTGCAGCCATGCGCACTTGGCGGCGGCGGCGGAGGTCCTCCTCGTCGTCGCTCTCGTACCTGAAGAGCACACGAACGGAGAAGGGGGTGGGGTGGTACGGTGGGCGAAGAGAACGAGCAACGAGAACATATACAGCGGCAACACAGGGGCAGAAGCTTTGCAGCGGCAAGGCAGGGACACATTGTGCGTGTGCGCATGTGCGAGTGCGCATGTGTGCTTGCAGCGAGGCCGCACGAACCGTGAAGCGAGCGGTGTGGCCTTTTCGCTCACGCCGGCGAAGATGGCGTCGGAAAACAAATCCCTGTGGCGAAAACGAGACGCGAGGAAGCAGTTGGAGGCAAACAAGAAGTTCGTGTGATGTTGGGGGAAAGGGAAGAAAGTGAGGATGGGTGTTGGCATGGAACAAAAAGGCAGAAAACCCATGTACGATGGGGTGCAAGCACCCATACACTGCATGTGTGTGTTCTTGTGTACCGCACCTGTCCTCCTCCTCGTCCTCAGATGCGGGCGGGGTGTTGATCCAGCGGTCAAGATCAACATCTGGCAGTGAAGAAGCACAAACCAACAGCAGCATTAGCAGCAGCAGCAGCAGCAGCGGCAGATGCAATAACGAGATATGCGTGCGCACGCAAGCAAATGGTCGGCTGTGAGTGAAAGACGAAGGAGGGAAAGACGCAAACACCAGGTCAACATGATGAACGTTGCAGAGGCAAACGAGCGCGGACCGCTCACTTTCTGGGACGGGGACCTTGCGCTGGGCTTTCGCTGCAACGGGGTTGAGGTTGCCCGCATACAGCGCTGCAAGCTCCCTGAAGGAACACGGGATGAAACATGGACGAGGTCGAGGGTACACGTGGTGAGAAACCTGTGAACAGACACAGTGACAGGCGCAGCCGCACAGACACAGACACATATAAACACACACACACACACGAAAACAAAAAGCCACCACAACAGGCCACAACCACAGCAACGAATCAACCAAAACCGCAATGCCACATCAGATGTCGTACTTGTGCGGGTGGTGGCCCTTGGCGAGGTCTGCCTCGACAAACGCCACAATCTGGGAGACGAGCACGGCCCTCTCCTGTACCTCCAGGTCGCCGCTCTGCACAAACAGCGGCAGTCGCGCCGTCAGCACCCCGCGCATCGCCTGCAGGTCCTCGCTGTCACGAACAGCACCGTCATCGCCGTCACCATCATCATCGCCATTGGCTGCGGTGGCGGTTTCGTCCTCTTCGTCCTTTGGCTGATTGGCGTCGGAAGCGGTGGCCGGCGCTGGTGCGGTCGTCAGCCTCTGTGCAACGGCGGCGTAGACCTTGAGGCAGTTGTGGATGAAGACGGCCTGGATTGGCCCGGGCAGCTGGGCCGTGCGCGGCTGCAGCAGCGCCTCGACCACCGTGGTCGCTGTTGGCGTGTCAAGGTGCTCGCTGAACTCGCCGCTGATCCACGCAGCAGCGTACAGCACCTATTGGGGGTGGGGAGATCGATGAGGGGAGGCAGTGGGGGTCGGGTGGGGGTGGTAAAGGGTGTGGTTGATGTAGTTGAGAGTTTTGGATGGGGCACGCAACTCCATGGTGCACGCCAAAACCAAGTAGCACGGCTAACATGCAAAGATCAAACAAGACAAGAAAGCTGGAAAGTTTGAGAGGTTGACACATTGGAGGGCGGCGCACCTCGCTTATGCCACACTCGATGTTGTGGCCAGAGTACAGCCGCTGGTCTGTGAGGAGGGCCGCCATTTGCTTGCAGGCAAAGGGGCGCAGCACCTTCACCTGTGGCGCGAAGAGAAGATTGAACAAGGCGTGCATGGTGAGGATGGAGCGACACCTTTCTCGAGAACACACATTAGCTCTCGTGGATTTTGCTCACAAGGACGAAGGGCATACGCACATGCACACACAAGAGGGGACACAGGGACAGGAGGCGTGCGTGTACGTATGCACATGTGTGTGTGTGTGTGTGCATGCGTGCGTGTACGTATGCAGGTGTGTGCATGCATGCGTGTACGTATGCACGTGCGTGTGTGTGTGTGTGTGTGTAAGGGGTTGCAACGTGCCCTGATTGCGACGTCCATGAGCTGGTCCCGGATGAGGGCGCCGTGCCGCGTGTTCTCCACGCGCGTCAGCTGCACCAGCACTTGCACATACCACTCAAAGTTGGTGATGTACTGCGGCAGAGGCGCCAGTGGCGGTGGGGGGGGGGGTAAGCATGGCAGCGGTGAGCAGAGGAGCAGTACTGGTTTTCCGACAGTTCGATTTTCAAAACAAAACCACAAACACAAACACAGGCACAGAACCGTTGCCAAAGCAAGCAAACAAGCACCAAAGAGCACATTCGCCGCCTTTTATCATTTGACCTTCCGTTCCCTTCCCCGTATCGTCCTCTCGTCACCCCCCCCCTGACTGCATGTCGCCCTCGCATCACGGCTCACCTGGTATGTTGACTGGGAGCACATCTGGATGATCTTGGCCACGACCTCGTCGCGGTACGTCTGGCCTTCCGTGCGCTCCAGGTGCTGCAGCAGCCGCCGCACAATGTCAATCAGCGTCTTCTTCGTCACCATGCCTGCAAGCAAATCCAGCGCGCGCAGCCGGATGCTCTCGTCGTCGTCGTCGAGGCACTCAATCACCAGGTCCCTGCAGCAGAGGAGAGGTGGTGTGTGGGCGGTTGTGTGTGTGTGGGTGAACATGCGTTTGGGTGAATATAAGAGAGGGTGAGAGAGACAGGGGAAAGAGATAGATAGATAGATAGATAGAGAGAGAGAGAGAGAGTGTGTGTGTGTGTGTGTGTGTGTGAACATGCGTTTGTGTGAATATAAGAGAGAGAGAGAGAGAGAGAGAGAGAGAGAGAGTGTGTGTGTGTGTGTGTGTGTGTGAATGTGCGTGAATGTGTGTGTGCAAGCATCAACGCCATGGGGGTGGAAATGCCATGGGGGACTGCAGCGGCAAGGACTCAAAGAACCACATCAGCATGTCTGCAATGACATCAGCCGCCTCTTCCCTCTGCTGCCCATCTGCAGCGTGCGCGTGTGTTCACGTGTGCGCACGGCACCTGTGTGGGAGGACGGCCTTTGGCGCAATCTTGAGAACAGAGGCCATTGCCTGCAGCCCGAGATACTTGAGGTTCTGGTCAGAGTCCTCAATGAAGATGCGCAGCTTTTGCACACACAGCTGTAGGACAGTGGCAGTAGCGCGTCGAGAGGGAGGGGGGAGAGGGTGAATGGTTGGTCGTGGCGAGTGCTGACTGGCAGGAGCAGCAAAGTGGCGTGCACGATAGGATGTGGTCAATGAGAGCGCAGTTGCTTCACTCTCCGCCTGCACATACACGTGTTACATTTCGCAACGTGCGCTTCCATGCAGCAGCGACTGCGTAGGGCTGGCAAGGGGAGTATTGCGAACCTGGATGGTGGCGGTGTGGTCTGGAATGCCTGCAAGCACGGTGTTGATGCATTCATAGAGCAGCGACGTGGCGGGCGTGCCGTGGATCAGCTCTGTCAGGGGCTCAACCAACTTGCGCCCAAGGCGTGGCTCCTGCGTGCGTGTGTGTGTGTGTGTGTGTGTGTGTGTGTGTGTGTGTGTGTGTGTGTGTGTGTGTGTGTGTGTGTGTGTGTGTGTGTGTGTGTGAGCACGGACACGAAAAGCATTCACGCCACGCGTACAGGTGCGCAATGACCACAGCTGGACGCGTGCAGGGTAAGGCAGTGTGGGATAAAACATAAAAAACTCACGAGAGGGCAGAGGGCGGCAAAGAGTTTGACAATCTTGATACGCAGCCAGTTGTTCTGGTGATCCGTCATCATGGTGGTGGCGATGGTGAGATGGTGGTGGTGGTGATAGGCAAAGGAAGGTTGAAGGTGGCGCACACGTGTGCTAACCAAAGCAGACACAAACAGGCACAGACACACACACACACACACACAGACTCACTCACACGCACGCATCACAGATACAAACACAGATAGGTTGAAATGCATGGAATGTGTGGCAGTGCCATGCAGGGCGCTCACGGTGGAGGTGGTGAGGAGCTTGAAGAATGTTGGGGCGAGGCTGAGGTAGTTCTTCGGGTTCTTGCGGGCCAACTCGCAGATGACATTCACGGCGGCGGCCTGTGCACGCACGACCGCGACACGACACCGAGAAGGGGGAGGGGAGGGCGTTGTGGGGAGAGAAGACGAGCGTGATGAGAATGACGATTTTGCAGCAAGAAAGGAACTGAAGGTGATGCAAACGAGCATTTGCAGTAAAACCAGACGGACACACACACACACACACACACACACACACACACACACACACACACACACACACACACACACACACACACACACACACACACACACACACACACACACACACACAACACACACACAAAACGGCCACCATGAGCGGTGCGCACCTGCACGCCCGGGTCTTCGTCCTCGAGCTTGTCCTTGAGTTTTGGAAATGCGGCACGCAGGGCATCCGGGTACTTGAGGAACAGCTTGTACCTGGCACGCACGCACGCACAGCGGCAGCCAACGGGTGGTGGTGGCGTGAATGCGTGTGCATGTGTGCGTTTGTGTGCGTATGTGTGCGTTCGTGTGTATGTGTGTATGTTTTTGAACATTGTTTGATTGCGGGTGAGTGAGTGAGTGTGCAATGTGCTTGCGGTTGAATGTGGTGCTCAAGCGCGTAACAGCGACTGAATCTTAAGATTGGTGCAGACCGCGTCGTAATGACGTGGCGCTAGCTCCGCCAGCATCAACACAGCATCAACACAGCCGCTTCCATCTCACATGACGAGTGTTGCGCGTTTGCGGACGTAGGGCCTGACGGATGTGAGGAGGGAGATGAGGTCAGACGCGAGGTCGCGTGCCAGGTCATCTCGGATGAAGTTGGACAAGCCGTTGAGCGCAAGCCCGCTCTCGTACTGGTTGTGCGATGTCAGGCTCTGTTGTGTGTGTGTGTGTGTGTGTGTGTGTGTGTGTGTGTGTGTGTGTGTGTGTGTGTGTGTGTGTGTGTGTGTGTGTGTGTGTGTTGTGTTGTGTTGTGTGGAGTGGAGAGTGAGGAAAGGTGAAGAGGCGAGCACGGCGGTCATGGCCAAGTACAGCATACACGTGCAAGCGCACCAAGTCCCCCCCCCACCACACACACATGCACAGAGACAAACCTTCTTGAGCATGTTTGTTGTGAGCATGAGGACATCTGTGTTGTCGTGAAAGCTCTGGGCGGCAGCGAGGAAGCCAATGCGCTTGTGTGCATACTTTTTGCTTGTCATCACCTCAACCACCTGCAGCAAAGAGGTCGTCCACAGCGGTCAAGAACAAACAACGGCAACAGTAACAA